TACAATAACAGAAAATAATTATAAATCAATATATAGAGTTATTTATATACAGTTATACACTTTACACTTAGGAAATAATTGTGCATCTTTTGTCTAAAAAGATCCACCGATGTGAACACTGAGCCTGCTCTCGTCCTCATAAAAACACAGTATTGGATTCATTAAAATGATCTGAGTGATGGAAAAGTCAGAGAATCAACAAAGTTATTAACATTAATCATAGAACTGTTAATAAAACCAATAGTTGTAAAGCAGTCAAACCACAAACGTCGACCTCTCGGTGGCGCTGCAGGATCGACCAGATTTATTAGACATATCAAATATAATATATATATATATATTATATTATATAAAATAGCTGACTAAGGCAGAGCTTTCCAAACTTTTCCATGCCAAGATGTCTTTAAAAACCTGTTGACAATACTACAGCAAACGTAAAAACACAAACCAATAAAACCAACTTCTATATACGTTTCCTTATTTTCATTAATAAAATAAATAATAACAATTACATATTCATTTCTTGCATCTTTGATCACTTCATTAGATTGAATATTTCTATTTTCCATAATAAGAAATATTTACATGAAATAAATACACTATATCTTATAATAATTATTAAACATTATACTCGATAAAATACACACACTCATATATAATTTAGTTTATTATTAATACACATACCTACATTACCATGTAAATAAAATCACTAAAATAGAAATATTCTAACATACGAACCACTCAGCAGATCAAAGGAACGTGAAGGCAACCACAGAGTTAAACACGGAGAACAAAGCAGTCTCTGTGAATCACACATGATCCTTCGGTCCGGGCCCTGTGGTCGACCTTTGACCCTCAGCAGTCCAGAGCTGTGACATCACAAAGGGCCCCGAGGGTTTCCAGAGTGTCGCACCCCTCCGTTTACTCAGAAACAGACGTACAGTCAGTCACATCCTGTATCACAGTGTTTACTGATGCATCAACGCTAGAGCGGCATTTCACTGTAATTTAAATACTTTATATACAGTTCAAAAAGTGTTTTAGTCCTGTGGTTCTCAATGTAGGAGTCGGGCCCCTCCAAAGGGTCGAAAGATCAATCTGAGGGGTCGGGAGAGAATAAAAATAAAAGCTCTAAAACACAAATTTGTCTTATTTTTGGGACTTTTATCTAATCGTCAATAATTTGTCTGTGAAATGCCGGATTATTTGACGTATTTGGGACTCACACATTTAAAAAAATACATTAAAAAAATGAAACCATGTGAGAAATGTGGAGGTGAAATGTCTCTTTGGTTAAACTCGTTAACAAACGTGACCTCAACCAGACACTGATTGTTTGTCAGTGGTCACAACACAAAAGGTTTGTGACCTGTAAGACGTTGTGACTCTTCAACAAGTTCCACAGAGAAACATTTAAAAGCTGAATCAACCGGGGATCAATCACACAGGGCCACATACTGATGTCAGAACAGGTGTTCTATCTATCTATCTATCTTTTTTCCTAAATTGATCATTAGCACCACCTGCTGTCTATCAGACCAAACTTCACTGATTAAAAAACTACCATTCTACCCTCCTCTGACCACAGTTATACATTAGACATTATATATACATTATATTTATATTATACATTAGATAGCTTCTTTTAAAAAAGCTTTTTATTAATACTAGCACACCTTTTTATTACCAACATGTCTCATCTGTTTTATTATCATTATTATTCATGTGTTTGTCTTATATTATTGTTGGGTACTGCTATATAAATACAGTTTATTATTATTATAATTATTATAGGGTCACGTTATTCTGGACATTTTTCTTGTGGAAACAATAGACAGCCTGATTTTAAAAACTGCAATACACAATATTATCCACAGAGGGCAGTGCTTGATAACATTGAGTCACAACAACTGTCTAGTTTTCTGAAGATTAATCTATATTGATACAAAAATATATAGTTTTTATAAATATATATATTTTCTTAACTGAACAGACAGCAACTTACCTCATAGATTATTAGGTCCAGCTGTTCATTAGTAAAACAAAATGTATACATCAACATAAAATTAGGTAATAAGAACAAGTTTTGAAATATTCCTGAATGTAAAAGTAATGAATTTAATC